TATAGAAAAGTACAATTAATAAATACAAATAAATTAAAAATTGTTCAACTAAATTAGTTAATTTTCTAATTTGTCTAGAAAAAATTAAAAAAATTTAATTAATTCAAAATAAAAAACTAAAAAAATTATTTAGTTTCACTTCTTATTCGGTTCGGTTCTTGGTCTAGAACCGAGAACCAAATCAAATACATCGGTTCTTGATTCAGATATTCGTTCGGGTATTTAACTTATGAAGAACCGCTCGGTTCGATTTGGTTTGGTTAAGTTCGGTTCAAGAGTTTTGTCCAACCCTAACAATATTACTTAACTTGAAAAATAAAGTGAAAAAGGTCCTTTAGAAGCATTTTTCAAAACAATCAAGAAAGATAAAATCGAGAAAATTATATCCAAGGGAAGTTTAGTTTGTCCAACGGTCACTGTTTTAAATGTTCTAAATTCTAACGTACAACAGCTAGCTCGGTTGTCCAGTTCAGAATGCGGATGTTCGGATTGGTTGTCTGGTTAATTAGAATTTTTGGCGTTTTGACCTCTATAAATACAATTTTACTTTGCATTCATTACAACATTTTTGAGAGCTTTTAAGTGAGATATTCTTAAACTAAATTATATTCATTTTACATCTTATTTATCTCTATCGAATCATTTACTTTGAAAAACTTTTAATTGAATCAACTTTTGATAAACACCTTTTTCATCAAAGTTTTTCTCACATAACACTTAAGTTTGATTCATTGCTATTCATTAAAGTGTTAGCCTATTTCTCTCTTTGTACTTAATTTGATTATATTATTTATTAAGAAAGAAGTTTCAAATTGTAAAATTATTTCTCTTTAAATTTGTGGGTCATATTGGGGTATTGTGTAAGGGTTGGTATTTTTTATTTGTAAGTCACCGGAAACATTGTAAGGGCTTGGATTGCACAATAAGTCAATCAAATTTAATGAAAATGCTTTACTTGTGACGGAGAGTTTGGTAACGAATGATGTAAATCATTGTTTGAGATCGAGCCTTTACAATTACATCGTTTGCACACTTTCTTGCATTTTTGTTTGATCGACTTATTCATTTTCAGCTTACTTAAATTTCAATCAATTTTTCGATTTTTTTTTTAAAAAAAGCAATCCACCCCCTTTTGATTAGTTATTCTATTAGGTTTGAACGAGTTTAAGAGAAAATCGAAATCGGTTCAATGTATGAACCTGGTGTTTACCGAAATCAGTGAATTTTTATTTTTATTTTATCTATCTATATAGCAAAATGGTTTTCTTTCTACTTTAAAAATATATTTTAATTAAAATTGTGGTCTAACAATGACCTGCTTGTTGAACCAGTGACCCACCGATTGAACCACTAAACCAGTGATTCGATGATTTTTCCGAGTTGACTATTCGGTCTAGTCTAATAACTATGATTACAATAACAATTGAGATTGTAATTATATAATAATTACATATTGTGGAAACTCTCAAACGTAATATCATAAACTTGCTAGTACAAGACATGATGATAACTCTAATTTCTCAATCTTAATGTTATGTGTGGATTATCATTGAAAATTGGACAATTGAATAGCTAGGAGGTAAAAGGATCGTGATTCACAAAAGTGTGGAAATATCGTGATTTATAAAAGCGTGGAAAGATCGTGATAAATCAAGATTTACAAGGAAGAGCAAAATTTGTAATTGTTTTTTTTTATTAAGATTCTTAAAAGAGTTTGAAGAATTTGTTAAACGTATTTCTAATCAATATTTCTACCTAAACGGAAATTTAAATTTCTCTTTACATGTATAACCAGCCCAAGTTGCCCGTTCAATTTTGCTCACAATTGCCTCGGTTTTGACTTGATCAGGATTTAAGATGATGAAATTAATTAATTTATTAACTTTTTACTTTGGTCAAAAAAATTTATCGATTGTGTTAATGTACATCGTAACTTATAAATTTATTTATCAACAGAAAGTAAAGTTACATAAAATTAAAAGATTGAACACATGATTTATTTCGGCCTAAACCCCGGAGGTTCGACGACCAAATCTAATGCCTACATCCCCCGTTGAGCATCCAGAACTGGATATACGCTCGATTGCACTAACAAACCCAAAATGGCAACAATATTACAAATCGTTCTTCAAATACAAGAGAAATGCACAAAATCACTTATCTCTAAAACACCAAACCGCAAATCGAACGAAGGAATCACAAAAGATAGCCTTCAACAGCCTACTGCACTACACTACTGCAAGAAACCCTTTATTCTTAC